ACTGGCAAGGCGCAAGCAACGAGAAGAACAACTTTTGGCTAAAAAACGATTATGTGAGTTTTTGTTACCTCAAAGAAAAATCAAGTTAATTAAAACGATGCACTTTATATTTTATATATATTATATATATACATACAGTGACCAACAACCAACAAATCGAGGCGCCAATCTCTGAATCCGAATGCAATTTAATCAGTTACGATCCTTTCGATTTTGCTACCGGTTTACCTCAAAGGAATTACAGTCGTAGCGATGTTAAGGTATATTAATTTTCACATTTCCTTACTTTCGATCCCTCTTCTTAACCTCTTTCTCCTCTTTCGATTTTTAGATGAAAAGACTGCAAAACGGTATCGTCACTTCTGACGAAGATGTCTCGATAACCGGATCACCCAATATCCGACGACGTTTAGGTTCTTGTTCCGGTGGGATCGTCGATCAACAATCTACCAAAGAAGAGATATACTCACCGGGTACGCGTGACGAAAACGCGAATCGTTTTTCTCTCTTCCTCCTTAAAAATAGTTATTACAAATTGTTTCTCACAGATGTCACGCCAAACGGCACTCTTCGACGCCGAAGAAGTCGGATACCTTGCGAAGACGACGACGGTAATTTAATGGACTTTTTGAGAACGTCGGGGCAAGACGGCAGCCGTGAGAGAAAATCATGGGGTAGTTTAGGTACGATCGTATTATCTCGTTCGAGATTATCTTTACTTTACTCTTTATGTAAAATTCGTGTCGTGAGAAATTCTCTTTTATATGATAGATCGTTCGTGGGCGAGAAGGGCCCGAGGACAATCTCGAAGAAGCGATCTGTTAAACGCCGACTTTTCCATTGATCGCGAGAGACCTAATTCTCCGTCCCCCTTGATCGAGAGCAAACCTTTCTTACAAGAAGAAGAAACGAAATCTACAGGGTAAACGATTCAAATATATATACACAATATACATATACATAATATATATATATATACAATACAATATACACAATATACATATACACAATATATACAATATATACAATATACGTATGTATATATATATTATATATACGTATGTCATACGCGTCGAATAGGAAAGCATGGCGGCAAAAAATTGAGGCGTGGTTGTCGGAGAATGAAAAAGAAGATCGGGCAGGGGAAGAGCTTCAAAGGAAGGCGAGACAATTGCATCACGCGAATCGACGATCTTACGAAGACTCTGGTAAATACTGAAACGAACACGTGAAATACGAAATTTCTTTCAAAATTCTAACCTAACTTCTTTGACTTCTGTGAGTAGAGAGCGAAAGCAAGACGAACACTCAGATCGAGTCCAATTCCACGCGCGATGCTTACTCGGAAGTTTACGATTGGCGTCCATCCGTCGAGAAGACAGACGTGATACGCACGATGGAGGCTATCGAAGGTAATCCATCGTTGTTCTCATATTTTTTTCAAATCCAAATTCTAATTCGATCTCGTTCCAGAGGCTGAAACGCATCCATCGCAAAAGGATAAATCTCCTTGGCGAAAATCTAGCCTAAACGTACCAAACAGCATGGAAGAGACTGACCCGCGTTATTCCCGTAGGCTAAGATCGAGACTGAGCGCGGAGAACGTTTTATCTTCTTCGAGCACGTTACAGGCACGTTGCATCGCATTTTTTTCACGAGAGAACGAAAATTCTATCCTTCTCGAGACAATTCTCGCGAAAGGGAAAGAATCGATTTTCACTTTTGCCTTTTGTCTGTTGCAGTCCATTAAAGAGGAAGAGAGAAAGAAGAACAAGATCAACGATGCCGCGAATAATCCAACTTCTCAGGACGAATTAACGATCTATCTGCGACAACCTTACGGCGATCCTCAACTCGGCGGTTCGAGGAGATTTTCTTCCAAGCTGAAGAAAGGCGCGGATGAGGAAAAGATGATCGACAAGATAGAGATCGACTCCGATAATATAGAAACACCCCCGGCTACTAGAAAACTATTCAGTCCGCCGAGAGAGGTGAAACCGGTCGAGAGGGAGCCGTGCAAAAGGGAACGTTGCAACGGTTCTTTCCAAACCAGAGATTTCAAGAACGCGACGGGAAAAAGTGTAAATAATAACGCCGATTTCGGGACAGGTAAGGCCAACATCGTGCCTTTTTACGAATCTTTTTCCAAATCCAAATCCTCGTCGATCTATCTCTATCGATCATTATCGTTTCAGGTAATTTCGATCGTTATTCGTCGGCGAGGAGAACGCGAAGGTACAAAAAGAACCAAGAGAACGGCGCGGAGAAAGAGTCGAAGCACGAGATGGTCGATACCGATTCGTTTGGGGAGAAACCGGCCGAACGGCCGCACACGCTTCCATTGTCGGAGGAAGAGGGGCGAGGGAAATGTTGCCAAACGTCGCCTGTTTGGGAAGAGAAATCGAAACGGCAAGATACGTCGAATTTGTTCGATATAGATACGGCACTGGCGGAGATCGCGCGTTCCGGTGAGGATCTTCAACGATTGTCGCGGCCGTTCACCAATCGAAACTCGAGATTACCGGTTAGCCAACCGTCGGCCGTGATCGCCGTAACGAACACCGTTCTTAGCCCCGTGATGCAAGAATCCAGGCCACGCGAGCCGTCTTTAACCGTTCACGCGGAAAGAGCGGTGACCAGTCGCGAGCGGCAGAGGAGCATGATCGATCCTAGTCAGGTGAAAGAGGCTATCAGTTTGACCAACAATCCGCCCAGTCAGGTGAACGAAGATCGAAACGTCTCAATCTCCTCCCGATCGCGACATCAGCCTGCCGAAGACGAAATCGATCTGGCCGTCGAATCGAACGAGAATATTCATCGCGTCAAACGTTCCGAATCGACGCCGCTTCGAAACCAAAATAAAATGATGCAAGACGCGCCGCGATCCAACCACGACGGTTCTGCCTTTCATCCCACTTACGCCTCATCCCCTCATCTTAATGTCCCTAACTCCACCTCTCACCACTCTTTCTCTTCTCTACCCCCCTCCGGTAAAGTTCGTGATCAAGAGATGAACGACGAGGGTTTCGAGGAGACGCAAAGTTTAGTTTCGGAAACCTTGAGTCAAGAGACATCCTCTGGAAATTACGAAACGGACACCCATGATTCAACTCGATGCTCGCCGGCCGAATTGCGTTACGGTGGAGTCGATTCCAATAATCCTTCGATGGTTCAACCCACCATTGATGTCAAATCATTGGGTAATCACGATTCGGCCAATCCGATTGGAGGAAATCCGTTGAAGGCGACAAAAACGTCCGCCGCGCCATCTACGATCAAAGCCAACTCGTTAAAGCACACCGTTGAGAAATCTAGCTTTCTCCCGAAACGAGCCAACAGTTTGAAGCGAGATGTTGGAAAGGCGGAAACTGCGCAACGAAATTCGAGTTCGACGTTCCAATCGACCAACAACAACAACAACAATCAAATGAGAAACGAAGTGGAACGTTCGGGATCGAGGAGCAGTCTTCGCAGTTCCCGAAGCTCGTTGAACAGCGCCACATCTGTCAACACCGTGCGAAATTTAGTACCGAATCACGCACCTCTGCGCACCTACACGTCCGCGATTTGCGCGTTGACCAATGACCTACGAAAAAGTCCATCTCACAATCCGTTGCCATTGAAGAACAACGAGAAACGTCGTACGAATCCACGCTCCACGACAATAAGCAGAATACCCGCGAGCAGAAGTAGCAGCAGTGGAAGTAGCGTGGGTCCGACGGCAAGAACTGTTCGCAAATCTCTCGGAGTAAGTAATTCCGTGTTTCTCTCGAAGATTTCATCCCCTCTCCTTCCCTTTTCGAGACGAGAACGAGAAAAAGAAACATTTGTTTCGTTTCAGTCGAGCATCGACGCGCAAAAAAGAAACAAGGGAGGACGAGTAATCGCTTCGCGTAGCAGCAGCAGCGGAAGCGGCAGCAGCGTGGGACCGTTATCCGCTCCGTTGAATCGCGTCAACGTTGAAAAAGCGACGACGTCGTCGGCTACCAAAAGTAAATTGATCCATCCGAGAGCCGGGGCCAAGAATCATAGTTTCATGAGGCCGACCGCAGCGAGTGTGAACAAAGGTTCTATACCCAATTTACCGAGGAGCATCAAAAGTTTGGTTAAGTGAAGTGACGTGAGAAAAAAGAGGTGAAAGAAAGAAAGGTTATAGTTGTTAGAGATTGCTGTAGCTTTATATGTATACATATGTACATACCGTTTTTTTTCTTGTAATACGTTTATTCTCAAAGAGTTTATATTCAATGGGATATTCCTTGATTTTTAAATCGTTCACTTTGACATTCAGTTCAGATGATTGACAAAAAAGAAAAGAACATCGATTTTATCGAAAGACATCGTTTTAAAGGGCATTTAACGAGCTGCGATACAATCGTCTTAAGATCATTTCGAATTCGTATTTCGTGGAAAATATACGTATATTAAGCATTTATTCGAAGAAGAACATTCGATTTCGATAAACGTTACGTTGATCACTTCGGACGGGCTTGTCGAAAATGAAAATGATCGAAAAATCAAAAAAAGCATCACGCTTTGAAACGTGCAATCCATATACCACGTTCGTTAAAATGCAATGTTGAATACTTACTTCATAGTTCATAGTTCGAAACATCACGAGCAACGAAACAATGCAAAGATATAATTTATAATCATCTGTATCGATCGTATATTTTGTGAAAGCTGCGCGAAACGTCCTATAATTTATAATATTCTAGCTAATGTGTCGATGATAAAATTGCATGCGCATATATCATAGAAAGTTACTAATAATTAATTTCGCTCGCGCGCATGCGCGCGAATGTTATCGATAATGAATAATAAATAAACATAACAATTGTTCGAAAAAAAGATTTTAATATTTTTAAGAGGGGAAAAGAACTTTTTAAAATTCGTATAACAATTAATTGAACTAATAAAAATTTGAAAGATTTTTATTAAATTTTATTAAAATTGTTCGAAATAAAAGGGATAGGGAAAGAATTCATTTTACCAGTGAATTTTTAATTCAAAAAGTAATTTATACCAGTAACAAATCAACCATATGATTCATCGGTCATCGAGTATCATCAAAACAAATATAAAAAATTGCGCCTCGATCGTATTCGATCTTCGATATATTATCTACACATTTTCTAACGTTCATTCTATTTGCTAAATATTATCGTCTTATTCTTGTACAACGCACGTTATATGGAAAAACATTGTAAAAAAAAAAAAAAAAAAATTTAAATAACAAAGTAAAACGATTTCAAGCGCTCACACGCACGTACGATTAAATATTAATTAGATTATTAATTATTAATTAATCTATCCTCGTAAATTCTGTACAATGCATAAAATAAGCATATCCAATACGATAAATAATTCGTCTTGAAAAAAATTTACTTACAACGAGTGAATTATTATTATTATTTACGAATAACATAAAATAACATTAGGTAACGAGATAAAGCTAAAACTTCCGGGATTTCGATAGATTTCAAGAATAATTTCAAGAACGATCACGGAAACCAAGGGAGACCGGGCCTTTTGGCGCGAGAATAAATTCAAATTGCAAATCGAGCTCTTCCTCCACGATGATCTCGAATTCCCGTATAATCTGCAAGGAAAAAGAATAATTGAATATACATATATCTGATGAATCCAAGGATATGCCACGGATGAATCGAAGAACCTTTGCCAAGATAAGCTGCAACGCGAGATCGACGAATCGCTTGCCCGGACATATTCTCCTTCCAGCGCCGAAAGGTGCGACTAATAACGGCGAATGGGGGCTGGTAGGTGTCGTCCACCTCTCGGGCAAATATTTCTTGGCGTCTTTGAAGTTCTCCTCGTTCAAACCTGCTATCCAAGTGTGTAAAAGGACTACGGTCTGTACAGAATAAAGGTACAGAATAAAATACGCAATAAAAGGGAGGAGGAAGAATAATTGATGATCACGCACGGCGTAGGAAAAGATTACATAATTGTTACTTACCCCCGCCGTCAAACGATAACCGCTAAGTTCGATGGATTCGTCCAAGATGCGTGCGATGCAGGTTGTCGTTGGGATCAATCTGAACGGACGCGATGCGATGGAAAAGATTAAAACGGATTTAAGAGAATTAGGACGCGTTTAGAGTCACGTTTACGCACCGTAGAGATTCGGTGATGCACGCGCGCAAATACTTGGCCCTCCGTAAATTGTCGATGGTCAAATCGCAACCAGCCGGTGCCAACTCGTGTGTCTCTTCGTATAGTTTGCCTTGCACGGCCGGATTACGGCCGATCAAATCGAACAGGAATACCAAAGTGTTTCCAAGCTGTGGCGAGTGATCGTAAAGGGATCGTAAGAAATGTACGAATCGGGTTACAATAAAGTGAATAAGTGTTTTGTGTACCGTGTGTATGCCAGCCGCTATGAAATCGACAATGGCTGCTTTCTTGTCGCGTATATCGAGATTCTTTTGTCTGAGAATGGATTGAAAAATGGCCTCGACCGACTCGTCTTTAGCATCGTCTTGTTTCTCCAGTATAGTGGTTTCGATGATCTCCGAAATGATACTGAAATTGTATCGTTGATATTGTACAACTATTTGTTGAAAACTCTTTGTTGTAAACGAATTTTCAATCCGTCCGTTCGATACCTGTCCAAACATACTTGTATATAGCGTCCTCGCTCTCTATCAGCTGTTTGTACGCACAGGTTGGTAACAATTTCCAAAGCGGCAATCCGTAAAAGGCATCCCGCGAGGCGGTGAAATGTATCCTGACAGCTTCCGCCAATCTCGTCGCAAGCTCGCTACTCGAGTCTGGTTTCAAGAAACCGAGATGTCGACCCAGGATCAAAGTGCATGTACCTAGACCGAGACCGAGATAAAACGGGGATAGAATCGATAAACCGAGTTGATCGATCGTTGGATCTTACTTTCCAATCCCATTTTATAGGCAAGCTCTTCGAAACCTGTTACTTTGTATCCGACCCTTTGACGCCGGATCAACTCGATGAACGAATCTGCGACGATATTCAGGGCCGGGAAAAAGCCAAGGACGGTACTGGCAGCCGTCAATTCCGACGTAAGAGCTATCCGAAGATCGTGCCACGTTTGTCCTTGTCTATCGAATTGTATAATAATGTCGGTTCGTGTCGACCGTTCCGGTGTCTTAAAACAATTGTGCGAAAAATTAGAGAAAAATTACTACTCACTCGTTGACTAAACCGAGATTCGTGTAACGATCCCGGCGTGTCCGCCGATAATGAGATATCACCTCTTGCGGGGGGCGAAGCGGATACCTGGAGTTACGGCGGATGATAGTCTCGATATCCTGACGGGAGAAGACAGAGATCATTGGAAAATTCCATAATGCTTCTTCTTTACACAACGCGCCATATCGTTGGTTCAAATCTATTCTTGAATCAGAAATAATCCGCCATTTTAAAATATATGTAACGCGTTTAAATTTTAATTTTACGTAGCAAATTTCAAATTTCAAATTTCGTCGAAATTTCGTATATCGTGATTAAGAGAAACGCGTAATGCCAATGGTAAATTTCTTACCTTTGTAAGCATCGTGAATCTTGTTCAATTTATAGTAACCGATGCAGGAGAATATCCATCTGGTTCCAAAAATCGGTAAAGAAAACGGCCCTGGAATGTTGGATACCGTTCTGAACTTGCCCTCGGCTGGTGCTGTTAACCATCACGCAAAAAAAAAAAAAAATATAAAACGTTTGATACGGATAATCTAACTTTCTCTATACGAGTCGAGCTATTATACATCGTGATTTCTCGTATAAGGGGAAGAACGTTAATCTTTGAGGTTTCGAAAAGAAAAAAAGGCACGCAAGGTCGATACAAGGTCACGTCATACGAATTTCGAGCTTACGCTTAAATTAAAGGAAAGGGAACGCACGTGAACGCGCCCTGTTTCGAAATCAAGGTCGTTCGTACACGAAACATCTTCTTTTCTTTTCTTTTCTCTTCTTTCTTTTGCCTAACTTGTGTATTCGAATCTATCATTTCATCGAACGAAAAAATCAACACTATTCTACTACGCACAGATGCAAAATTACATACTATATGTATAATGTCATACTATGTCACGAACAAGTGCACGCTTTTTGTATTTTTTTCATCTTAATTATACGTGTAAATATTTCGTTTCAACGCGTGAAACGAATTACTAACAACATTTTTACAGATCTTACTTACCGGTAGCTTCGTGAGATGTAGCTGTCCAAAACCACCATGCTGGCCGATGGCTAGTAACGAAGATCAATATCGTCAAAAGAACTGCAGCGATTACTTCGAACCAAGCACTCGAGAGTAACATCTCAAAACTCCTACGGAAATAGGGCAAAAATTCTCCACTTACGAATATCTCTTTCTATGATATTACGATTTAACGGGAAGGCCGAAATCCTTTTATCTTTGCGATACCGATCTTTAAGAAACAAGTATACATCGCGTATATTAAAATTCTCCGAATCTTTAACTTTGTCTCGATTCGACAAATAATTATTATTTTTCTCAGACGTTTCTTATCTGAACAATGATAAAGAGATTATACGAAAAGCGGGCAAACTCGGCATACCACCGATGTGATATATTATTATTATATCGTATATATTTCTTGTAACTCTATTTCACGCGCGAATATCCACAAATATTCCGACGATCAAACCGCGTCTCGTAATATACGAGGAATAAGTAGTTGAGAATCGATGTAAAACTCTTAGATCCAAGATAGGTAGGGGATTCGTTCGACCGGTCTATGGAGAACGATCGCGAAGCAGGGACCTGATAGAGAGAAAGCTTGTTATGCTTCGATCTATAGTATGTAGAAGTAAAGCGCGTGTTATTACTGCTCGCGGAAGGAGCGCGGATCGCGATAAATCCAACTAGCCGTTAGCGAAAAAATGACGCACCACTGCTCCTCCGAGTCCATTCGAAGTTGACTGTCCCAGTGTTATTTACGGATCGCCGGTTTCTTCTATTTGCAGTAGCTTGATAACGCGTATCGTCACGATGACCCTGCTCTCTCTTTGACTCGCTAATCTCGAAGCTGTTACACGGATCGAAGAGAAAATGACTAAACACACGTCCCTCATCGCGATATAGTATTTACAATACATACATGCCGATTTTTTTCGGCTTGTATATGTGTCTCGTCTAACGTTTATGATCCTTACCAAAATACTTGACGCGATCGAATTCTTCAAATATAAATATTTTTCGTTAATTTGATATATCGTTCCAACATGAATTCAAAATTCGTAAAATAATTGTTTATTCGATTTCTTGTAGTTATTCTTCTCTCTCTCTCTCTCTCTCTCTCTCTCTCTCTCTCTCTCTCTCTCTCTCTTTCCTTCCTTTTCATATATATCATTGTACAAACATCAAACGAAAATTATTTTGATAATCATCGATCGATCGTCGAAATATCGATATTCTATTAAGTGTTATAAGATGATGAGATGTTTAAATTTTATTGAAAGTTATAGTATTTTGCAATAATAATTTATATTTTAATTCTGATCACATAAAATACCATTTTTTGAGGATTCTCATGTTTATTTTCTGTTAACGATATCACGGTCGGTTAATGCCTAAATACTGTTCGAATAATTTCAATCATCGGTTATGAAATATCGCATAACGAGTCAAAAAAAAAAACATTACTTCAAATCTTTATTTTCTTTCTTGATACGCGTAATAAAAGTAAATTGAGAAAACTGAATGCATATTATCTCATTAGCGCGACCTATATGTCGGTCAATTGAATATTTACATTTGAAAATTCTCGAATAAATAAGTTTATCTATATTAACTAGTATTATCGAAATTACGATCTTTTAATCTTTATTATCGTTATGACTAAATTTAATTTGGAATCGAAATATCAAAATATATATACATATCTATACACATTTCTTTTCTATGAACGAAGAGACAAATTTTAAAAAACTTACGATTCGTCCGATAGATTAGGATGATTATCCCATAGTCTGGTTCGGATATATATTTTATTTATTATCTCGCAGAACATTGATCGATATAATTCGTTCCTATACATCGAAAATTAAATATTTTATCGAAAATTAAATTCAACGATTCGATAAAATTAATAAAATAAGAAATTTATTAGAATAAAATTTATATGATAAATTAATTTTACTGCTTACGTCCTTTAAATAACGATTATAAATTTAACGATTAAAAAAATGTAAATATTTTGATTCGTCATAATTGAACTAAGCATTCCCGCGATATAAAGGTTATTAATTATCACTTAGAATCACAAGTTCACACGGCTCACATTATTATTTATTATTATTCTAAATATGCATACTGTTTTCTTTTAGATTATTTTCGTTCACATAAATTTGAAACAAAAGGACGTATTTTCACTGTCATCAACATTCATGAACATTCATTTCGATTCAACCGCTTATACCCGGAAATTCGATGAATTTATTTAAATTCGCGTATTCATATCACAGGTAGCGATCAACCGGTAGATAAAAACGAGACGTTCTTATACTTACGAAGGGTGCGCGTGGTCTGAAGTACAGTTAAAAAGAGATACCAAACATCGTTGTGTCGTCGTCAAGATGATTGTAATGGTGGCAGTAGCAGTAGTAGTGATGGTGGTGGTAATAGTAGTTGTGGTGGTGGTACAGATGGTAGTGATGGTGATGATGATAATAATGATGATAATGGTAATCGTGATGGTGATGATGATGATAGGCTATGGTATATATTATTATATAAGTAGCAGTGATAAAATCAACTGTTAATCATGACAATATTGATACGAGTAATTTATCGTATCAATAAATAATTTCATAATTCTATAATAAAAAAGAAAACAAGTATATTAAAATAAATTTAATCGTAATTCTTAAAGATTCTCTTTGAGAAGTGGGGGGAACAAGAATTAACCATCAAGTTGAATGAAGAGAAGTAATATAAATGAAACTAATAAATAAACGAGAATAAGGAGGGGTTGAAAGAATCCAATAAAACATGATCATGTAGTAATCATGCTTATATATACGATTATATACTAGTTTTGAACGATACATTGGTAATACACACATAATACATATACATGTATATATACATATACATGTATATATACATATATATATGTATATATATATATGTATACCAATTGAAACGGAATATAACTGAAATAAATTTAAATAGGACGAATCACGAGCATTAATTGTCGCTATTTAAATGATATGCTATTTAAATGTTAACAAGTATAGAATTTGTCATCAATTATTTTATAATTTTACACACAAATTGAAATAATTTTCGTTATATGAATGATATTTTATTTTCTTCGATTTTTGTTCTATCAAAATTGAATTAATCAGATTAGAAAAAGCAAAAGTTTATTCATCTTCACACTGCACACTCTGATTGCGAGAGCACTTCTTATGTGCTTCGTAGTCCGTTTCCACGCTTCACCGTTCCTTTTGCTGGTCCAATACAACGGTCCGATCCCCGGCATCTTCGACGGAGGGAGTAACTTTGGTGGGGATTTCAACTTATAGTCAGCACGATATGTTCGGCAGATGGCGCGATACCTTGTCACGATTCTTTCCTGACGAACAAACGCGATAATTTCATGTGACAACCAGTTACATTCAAATTAATATTTCCTTCTTTTTTTTCTCCCATTCTTTGAATTCATTTAATATTTTTACTAACCAAATTTCTTTCATACAAGTTAAACAACACAAATAATTATTACATACATATACATAAACTACATAATATATTGTACAATAAATATTCTAAACAAGTTATATATAAAATATCTTAATTAGATCAAGTAATTAAAAGTAACGATTATAATATAATTATTGATGTATAATTAGGAATAAAGATAAATATGTGCGATGAGATAACAATAAATTAGATTACAAATAATAAAGTCAGCAATCTGATGAATATATTCCAATCTTGCTATACTTACAAAAATATATACACATACAAAAGACTTAAAAGAATAATCAAAATATAACTCGGATATTTACGAATATACATTACATATGTACATACACATATATGGAAGCTATATCGTTGAAGCGAGGATGGTCGACCAACCAGGAAGTGATCATGGGTAACTGGCCTGTTTTAAAATTGGAATCCTTCTCAGGACTCGTATAATGACTTGTCATTAAAACGGGACTTTCTCGTGCGATACCTTATTCAGTGATAAAGATTGCCGCACATATTCAACAAATTAACAATAATAAAATAATTTTTTCTTTTCACAGCTTCACTTTTCGCAACTGCTCTTTTATATGATAAAAATATTTTAAAAAGAAAAATTTACAAGATAAAAAGCTATATATTTTGATAGGAAAAAATTCTAAAATTTCCTTTAAACGCTTTTCCCCAATTAATGCGCGTTTTGCTATATATTTCAAACGATATTTCATAATTTAATCATGGCACAATGTTGTATTTGTAAAAATAAACGGTATAACTTCTGTGAAGATATCGATATTCGGATCCAGACTTCGACCAAGGCCTTCAATTACTACCATACTGAGAATCACGTTGATGAAGGTTCCATCTTGCTTAACTCGATGCCGAACCATCGCAGAAAACAATTCAGACACAACGGTACTTACGTTCACCTGTAATATTTTTAAGTGGTCCTTCAAGGAGTCTTCTTCAATTGCAACCATTATTTCATGCGCCTTGTGTATAAGTATTTTTTAAAAATTTTTTAAAAATTCACATTGGTTCTACTTTGAAGATGCGTGTTTACAATATTTTTGATTGCATTCTTGAAACCGTCTGGATCGATGGATACGTGCGAACTGTGTTCCAATATGTATTCTGCAGCTAATTCACCCTAAATAAATAAATATGTGAAAAGAAAAAAAAAAAATAAATAAGAATGAAGAAAAAATTAGAAGATAAAAATTATAAATATATATATATATATATATATATAGATACTTTTCCCATGACCACCGAACGGAAAACATCCTTGAGATTTTGCCGACAACGATCATTCAGAGACACTACTAAACCGCAATCAAGAATGACCAAGCGTGGATAAGTCGGTAAATAATTGCGATCGATAAATCTCCAAAACCATGTACTAATTCTTCCAGTTGATTCATAATTTGTTTGTACCAAAATATTACCAGGGTGCAAGTCACAATGAATGAAATTGTCATTAAATACCTGCAATTTACTCGATAATTGTAATTAAAAAATCAATAAATTCGACACAATACTAGTCATATATCGAAAATTACAAGATTTCCAACCATTTTTAAAATTGTTTTTAACCCCATTCTAGCCAATTTCCCTTGCAACTTGGTATTTTGATCATCGAGATAGTTAGAAATTGGAGAACCTTCGTGAAAACTTTCCACGAGTATTTCATGTTGTGTAAAATTCTTATAAGGTTGTGGAAATATAACTTCCTTTTTGTTAGAAAAATTTTTGGAAAATTGAATCAAATTGTCTGCTTCCAAATTCATATCAACCTTTACAAATGTTATTATAAAAACTCATTATATGATATATGATATATATTATATTTATTTATTTATATATATATTTTTTACGTAAATATATATTGTATATTATTGTATAATATTATTTTATATAATTTATTGTATATATAATATTTCAAATAAATTGATAACTTATAATTAATATAAAAATTACTTGATTTTCCATTATGTGCGAAAATTCATCGATACAATCGATGAGACTAAGCCATTGTAATTTAGGCACGATGTATGTTGCACATTTGCAGATTCCTCTCATTATAGAAAGATCTCTTCTAAATTAAACGAAAACGATAAAGAAAAACGATCTAGAGGTCCAAAAAGATTAGCTATTATTTCTTGTTATCTTAAGTTATAAATATATCGTACCTTAATTGTTTTTTAATTCCAGGATGTAAAACTTTTACTGCTACTGGTTGCAGTTTTCGATTGATATACATATTACCATGTTGTATTTTATCAACGTTATTATTAAATGTTCTTTCTGTAATTATTTTATATCACGTGAAATATTTCGAATTTAATCTAGTAAAATCAATTTAATTTTCATTTTCATATATTTACCAATAAAAGTAATCAGGGAACCAAATCTTAAATATTCAATAACTGTAATAAGATTCGTTTAAAATTTAAAATATATTATACATATAAATATATATTAAGAATTATAAAAATTTATATTTTTTTTTAAAAAAACTTAAATTTTTGTCGATATTTCATCATAGACATATATATCATCCTTCGATCTTAGAAAGAAAAAACAAAAAAAAAAATATATTTAAATGATTTACTTTCAATAAACGTAGATATTTGAGGTTCTTGTACCATATCCACTTGGGCATTTAGATCTATCCATGCCTTGTATACCTATCGATCGGATAGGAATGTAAAATACAATCTCTTCATCAAACTCAATCATTTCATTTCATTTTATATTTATACCTGAGCACAACATCCTGATCCAATAGGCATCTCGTGTTCGAATTTTACGAATATGTTCCTCCAGTTCGAACCGTATATAGCTTTAAGTAATTGTTTTGTATAAATCCATGAATGTACAGAAGCGCTTTTTTGCAAATGTGATAGTGTATGACAAACATCTTCGGGAAACAAATCTTTTCGCGTAGATGCCCACTGGCCAAATTTTATAAAAATTGGTCCAAGAAATTCGATACCTGCAATTACAACAAATCAACATATATTTTCTTTTGATTGGTAAATATTATACTTTTCCGAAGGATTATCGGGAACATGTGTCCATGTGTAAAACGTGTAATAATATATCCAACAGCCAATCCAGTAAGAACAGAACCTATCACAAATATTCTTGCCATGATTAAAATGATATCAAAGAAATTTTTGCATTCTATATTTTTTGTCAACAAATTATTTGTATAAATTTGTTTTTGATGCTCGGGTTTATAAGATAAAATAAATACACCTTTTACTACTCGTTTTGAACTCTCAAAATTACTAATACTTCTTGCTATAGATTGATGAAATCGTATCGGAGATACATATTTCATCCTTTGCCATTTTTTCCCTTGATTTTGAAATAATTTGTTCAAATGAAATAATTTCGAAAAATTCGTATAAGAAGCCATTGCAGATCATTAATCATGCTCAAATAGTGGATCTGCCATCATCAATTAATTTTTATATACAAATTTGTTTGTTCATAACTATGTTCTCCTTTCAAATTAATCCATTTTTTAATCAAAATTGTAATAAAAATGTTTCTTTAGATATAGTAACTTGCTTGCTATTTGTAAAGGTTAAAACATATTAAAAATTCAATCAAATCATATATTAAAATTATGCAAATTTTTTTAATTAAATTTTAATCATTTTTATATATACTATATTTTTAAAATACTTACTTTATATTTAATATGTTAAAATAATTATAATAAAATTGCATACATTTCTTATTTTCTCATTTGGTAACACTGTTCAATATATTCACAAATGTGTTGTTATTCGTTTGTGAAAATAGATATCTAAAGAAAATAGAATTTCTTTTAATGCATAAAATTTCGTAATTAAGGCATCGAATGTGTAACCGAGAAAATACAAAAAAGATAAAATCTTTAATGAATTAAATGGAAATGAAAACTATAATTATTTTATTTTCAAAAAACTCATTTGTGTTTATACTTTTCTAACCAAACTTGATCACTTGATTTATTTATGATCAATAATTAATTAATAATATCTTTTCCAATAATTTATTAAAATAAGCTATAAATATTACTATATAGTTGAAAATCTATATACATATATGCACGCCTATGTAATATTCAAGAATAAAGTTAAAAAAATAACTTCCATTTACGTGCATAAAATTTAAAAATAACAATGTCTATGTATTGTAGAACACTAGAATGAATTTTGTTCATTCAATTAAAAATAAAATATACAAATGAAATTCAATGCATAAATGAAAATACGCTGTGTTAATTTACAAAGATTTAATATAATGAATTAATATACTATTAGGTAAAACCTAATAATAAGCATACAGATTTTTACATTGTTAAAACATTGTTAAAAAGTCAATAAAATGCCTACCATAGCTAGCTCATCTTTAACATATGAAATTCTTATGTACTTAAACTCTTTTTATTTTGGTATGTTTGCTATATGCGAATTGGGTATGGGCTTCTTCAAAGCTGCGAATCTACCTTCTGGCACAAGTACTACATTTACAGAGTTTATACTCTTATTCTTCCTTATAATCACAGAAGGATCCAGAATTTACTTTGGAAGGAAAGGGAATTTGACAGAACATGGATTACCAATTCTTATTGGAGTTATTTTAACAGTACCCAGCTCCTTAGCGACATTATATTTTTTATTCTGGCAAAATTATGTACTCAAATTAGAAGTAATTCTTTGCAGCATACAATTGGTACTTTTAGCATCCGAATTAATTATTTCTATTTCGTGTCTTATAGCCATCTATAAACCTTCATCTCCAGAAGAATGAACAATCATATTAATATTCAAGAATTCAATTACATCGCATTGTATGTTTCTGTATATTAATAAAAGTGAGAGAAAGTCAATTTAATCGTTTTAATCTATAAAAATGTATGTTTAATATTCATATTAAGAATATTATTTTATTTTCTAATAATAACAAAATGTATAGATATTCTATAAATTAATGCCATATGAAAAAGGTGTATAGTCGATTTTCTTTTTTTTTATTGATCCTTTTTTTTTCTATAAAAGTGACATTTTTCGTCTATAATAAAATAAATATTTCTTGAATAAATAATATACTTTTGATCTTATTATTTTTAACATGTATTTATATTATATATGTATATTTTTAAAGTAATCTACCTACAGTACATAATAAATAATGAATTCTAAAACTGGATGCAATCAATTGAAAATAACTGATCATTTTCCTCGGTGTAAAATATGTATAATATTATATAAAAAAAACCATTATCAACATTTAATACGAATTGATAATTTTTTATAATTAGAAATATTTAACAGAATATATATGAGTTTAAAAAAAAAAGTATTAAAAATTTCATAAAATTTGTACCTATATTTTTTTGTTTTAAATTAATCTTTTGTTAAAATTAATCTTTTATACTATTTGCCGCAGCTCTACGTCTTCTGATTGCACGTAATCGATTATTACAATATATTCGTAAAAATACCGAACCAAATACTAGTAAAATTCCAATAATGCCGATAATTGTTACGTGATGATGATATACCAGACAGGATAATAAAATAGCCAATCCCTGAAAAAAAAAAAAAAGAAACGATATTTTTAAGATAATAATATTCTATTAATAATGACATATACAAAGAAAAATTAATTACTTGTCGTATAGTCATCATAATCACAAATGTTACTGGTCCAAATTTAGATATTGTATAAAAGATATACAATTGACCACTTGCAGAAAAAATTGATATAAGTGAGCAATCCACAATAAACCTAGGATACTGAGTAACAATAAAGATATTAAAATTAAATTGAACATTATTACTACAATTAGATATATATTTCAACTAATTAAAATCACCTTTGTCATAAATGAAAATATAAGTGGAAAACTTGATTGTTGAAATAAAGACATTGCAGTTAATAAACAAGAAAACATATTGACTATACACATCATTTGCACACTTGTTGCACCATATTCCACAAATAATGCACTTTGCCAGGTACTTGTAAAACTATCTAATAATAAATAACCTCCTAAGAGAATAATACCGGACACAGTAGTAGCTCCATCTAAAATCATTGGTAGAATTATTAAAAATACTAATTAAAAATACTAATTATTAAAAAAATTTATTCTATTAAAAAAATTAAAATTACATTAAAATAAAAAATCACATACCGTTTTTATAATCTGAACTATCTAACATAAACAATGTCATTCCAATGGAAATGAGTATAGCTGTAACATATTCATAATATTCATATGTAGTATGTGAAACTATCTTTCCCATAATCATTACAGGAATTATTTTTGAAGCTTTTGCTAATACCTAAAATGTATATAATTATTGAACAATGCTCTATAAATAATAAAGAAAACAAAATAATAAAAATTTGATTACCTGTGTTGGAAAACTGACATATTTTAAAGCTTCATATTGACACCAACTGCTCATAATATTTGATAGAGAACAAAATGCATATTTGTAGAGAGGTGCTTTATGCTGTGGTTGTCTTCGAATTATTAAATATAATCCCGACATTAGAAATGCAAGAATTCGATTTACAAATACTAAAAACTGTGAATCTTGAAAACGATCTTTGTTGCCAGCAACATCTTCATATTCCTAAGAATATTTTTAATAAATATTTTCATATTATATAAATTTTTTCTGCAATTAACAATTGAATCATCTTGTATTAAAATATTCAATAATAATGGAACATAATTAATGTTATAATTTGCATTCTAAATATCAAAAAATATTAAAAATCTATGTTTAAATATATAATATAATAATACAAAATTATGCTTTGTAAAAAATTTAAATAAATCTAAATATAATTACTAAATGATTTAAATTAATAAAATGTTTTATTACGTATACATTATGAATATAGTATAACATATGTTTTTTATATTGATTAAAATTGATCGTTTAATTTTTTCATATTATTCAGATTATAATTTATTGCAATTTAATGATTCATATATATAAATATTTATCTGTATTTGTTAAATGATTTATACCTGAGTCATTATTTTCTCTTGTAAATAACCCCATGTTAAATAACTGATTTGTAATCCCAAGAAACAATACAAGAGTAATAAAGCATCTTGTGTGAAAGTACGTTGATTATGATTTGATGGTGTGGATGAATAAGATGAATCCAATAGTCCTGTTTCACAATGTCCCACAAAACATGAATGTACTAGCTTGGGTATACATCCTTTACCTGTTTAAAAAAATTATTATTTCAAATAAAAAAATATATATATATTTTTTTCATTCATATTTATTAATATATTTTTCTATTTACCTCCCCTTTGAATATATTTGGTATAACGTACATATTTATATATGAGACAACCTGGCAATAATACAGTAGCATAACTCAGTAAATTTATACACAATTTAATAATCCAATTATATGAGGAAATTTTTACAAAATTTTCTCCATTATTCATAAGAGATTTAATAATTTCGCTAGCTCCAAATATAAGACTCACTGAAAGTAGTAGCAATATGCTACAGAAAAAATTAATTTAACAAATGAAAAATATCATCCAGAAATTTTTTACATATATATTTAATTTCTTAACAGTAAGAGAGAAAAAAAAATGAAACACAATGTTAATACTTAATACTATTCAAACAATTTCGTATTTGGAACTCACCAAATTACAATATCACCCAAAAAATTTCGCATTGTTCTAATTATAATAAAATTTTAGTAAAAATAAATAATCATAAATTAACGATTATCATATTTTCGCCTTTCAACATCAAATATTTTACGATTATATTTAAATACAAATGCATACAAATTGAATTATTACAATAATCTGCAACTGATACCATACTACATGTTGCACCATACTACATATTTTTAATACACAGTATTACTTAAATCATTTTTAAAAATTTATTTACAAACAAAATATAATAATCATTAAAAATTTTTTCATTAAAAATCAATGATAAAAATTACAATATAATAATATTCCATTAATAATTTAATAAATATCTAAAAATATATCGTCAAATCATCGTTTTGAACATGTCAAGTCAATTTTATTTTTCTAGCAACTAGTATAACAAAATAATATCTGTTGATAAAATACTCATTATATATATACATATATATATATGTACATATATATTATATATTGTTAAATCTATGTCATGCACTATTATTGATTGTTCATTTTCTTTATCTAAGAGCTTTAATTAAAAAATTAAAAAATTAAAAAATTTTTCTCTTGAAATTATATATACAAAAATTATAAATTTTTTACATATTAATAATTGAGCGTATTTGTTTTTTTCTTTTTTTCGTTAATGAAAAATATTAATGAAATACATGCTTTAATGCTTTAATTTAATAAAAAGATTATTTTAAATACACAATTTTTTTTCTTTTTCGTAAAAATATTATATCTATATATTTGATTTATATTTAGAATTATAAATATAATAAAGTAATATTTTCATTTGTATAATATATGCATTATTTATTCACTTATATTTCAATTGCAATAATTAGTATGACAATCTATATTACGACTACACAATGGTTACACGATATAATGTAAAAGTTTATTAAAAGGAAGAAAAATATAAATAATATAATTCTTAATTTTTATAAAAGAAAATCTTAATAATAAAAATTAAATAAAAATGAATGTTATAGGTAAGAAAAGTAATTAAAGATAATATAAAAAATATTAATCATTATTATTTATGGAGGAGCATACTTTTATCCCCTCTCTAAAGAATTCCGCCAGTAAACGAACTCAATGTAAAGTTTACGCGGCAATTGCTACGATGATGCAACTATTTTTGTGACATTAAATATGAAAATTTATTCGTAATATTTCATATGTTATTTCTTAAATAAAACATAATAAATATAATTTATATATATATATATATTAATAATATATTAAAAATAATATATTATATGTATAATATATATATATATATTAATTTTTTTAAGCAAAAACTGTGTTTATGCTAAAGATGACTACTTCTATTTGCAAAATGTATAAAAGGCCATTTACAGTATGTATAGAAGGTAATATAGGAAGCGGGAAAACTACATTTTTAAGTCATTTCAAAGAATTTAACAATACTACAGTTCTACAAGAACCAGTAGAACTTTGGCGAAATGTTGGTGGAACAAATTTATTGGTAAGATTTCTTAAATATAAATTTTTATATATTATTACAATATTTATATATTTCTTATATTATATCATAGAATTATTATATTCATATATAAATATTATATTGTATTTATATATATAAAATTAATAAATATTTATTAAAATATTTAGGAATTAATGTATACAGATCCTAAACGTTATAGTTTTTTATTTCAATCTTATGTACAATTGACAATGTTACAACTCCATACTTATAAATCTTTAATGCCTTATAAAATCATGGAAAGGTCAGTATTTAGTTCAAGATGTTTTATAGAAAATATGAAACGTAAAAAATTATTACATGATGTAGAAGTAGTAATTTTGGAAGATTGGTATGATTGGTGTATAGAAAATGCTGATATAGAAACTGATTTAATAGGTATGTTATTTTGAATATATAATTATATAAATATGTAAATATGACAATATTAGTTAACAATGATCAATTATTATTTTCATATATAATATAGTTTATTTGAGAACATCACCAGATGTTGTATATCACAGAATGAAAACAAGAGCAAGAAAAGAAGAAAGCCTTGTATCATTAGAATATTTAAAACAACTTCACAATATTCATGATGAATGGCTTTATTATCAAACATTATTCACTGTACCAGCACCAGTTTTAGTATTAGATGGAAACAAAAATTTAGAAGAGATGGTTAAAGAATTTGAAAATTGTAAAGATCAGATTTATGGTAAAAAAGAAACAGAAAAAAATTAAACGAAAATATTGCATTTTTAATAATGCATTTCTTTTTAATGCAGTTGAAATAGAATATATTGAACTGAAAAATGTAGATCATGATTTAATTTAAGAAAAATTTTTAGTATTATAATAGAATTCCGATTATCTGAAATAATTCTATTTAATTGTCATATTTGATCTGACTATTTTTTAACAATTGTTGCGATTCATATTTTCATAAAGAAAAAAAGTCATGTGCATTTAGCAGTGACATCGATACTAAATAATTGATGAAGGATTCATGTGTTTTTTAATATATGTATTATGTAAATATATGTAATTCGTAACTGTTTTTAATGTAATAATATGCTTATAAAACACATGAATTCTTTTAGATATTTTATAAAATATTTGATTTTAATATTATTAATAACTCTATTCTTCTATTAATTACTTCTAATTCAGATTTAAGAGAGTAAAAGTGTATTGTATTTTACACGTAATTTTTTTTACAATTGTTCATAGATTTTAAGATATGAAAATCATTATGAATAATAATGAAGTATAAACATAATAAATAACAAAGAAAATAATAATATAATTAATATCTAAATATCTAAATATATTTGATTATTCAGTATTGTCTCGATTTTAAGCATTCTACTGTATTATTTTTTGATTAAATTGTGGATATTTTCAAATATTCTTGAAATATTAACTTTAAGAGCTGATATCTCGAATCGGTTTATGCTAAGTTTAAGTGTTTTGAAATGTCTCTATGTCCAGTATCAATTACAATAATGTGATAAAAAATATAAATATATAAATATATAAATTTCATTTTTAAAATTCGATATTCGAATTTTTTATATTATATATTATATATTGCAAAATTACATAAATGAGAGCATCATGTATTTTTTTTTGATATCATATAATTTTTATCCAAAATATTTTTTTATATATTATATTCTTGTCATATTTGTCCTAAGAGACATAAGAAAAAAATAGAAATAAAAAATAAGAAAAACATTATTAAAAAATAAATTAAAAAATAAAGATAGAGAAATGTTTATAAATTTGTATAATTATCATTTTTTGAAAATCAATTTTGTTTTCTTAAATAGAATATAAAAATATAGAAATTAAATAGAATTTTTTAGTATATAAATAAGCATTACATTATATTAATCTCATTACATTGTAGTATATTATTTTCTAAAAAAATACTTCTAAATCATTTCAAGTTAAAAACTATTAGTTTAGAAGATATTTAATTATTACTAAATATTTTGTAAATTAATAATTTTTCTCATATAATATTTTTTTATAGAGAATCTTGAGATATATTAACTTATGTATTAAAAAAAATTCCATATAAAAAGATAAAATTGAACTTCTTTTAGTAATGAATTTAGCAATGAAAAAATTAATAATGTTAGAATATCATCTAAAATCTTTCAACTTTTATATGAAACATTTTTTAATATTATGAAAAGCAACATATAAGATATTCTAAATGAATTATATGGGAATTATATATATATTATTTTATATAATATGTATTTTGTATATTATTTTTTTATAGTATACATATATATAAATAAGATATATATATATCTATGGTGAAACACTCTACATTAAATTAAAAAAAATAAAAAACATTGAATATTCGATTTCCTATTTATTATTCTCTATCTCATCTTATCTTATCACCTTATATATATTCCAATTATATGCTTCAGTTGTAATGTATCTCATATTTCGTTCCATTCTCATTCTATATACATGTATATCTTTTTTATATTTATTTACCATTACCATTTTATTACCATTTATATACTTATTTATTTTCATTGTTTCAAATTTTTTTAAATCGTTCTTTTAACAATTTTCTTATTCTAAAAATATTTATCTTTTGCATATTTAATTTAAAAATTGCTGAAGGATTCAGTCATATATCAGATATCTCATATAATAAGATTAATCTCAAAAATCTCATATAATTTATACATGAAATTTAATATTAAAAATATATAATATTTAATATTTAATATTAAAAAATATTTTGAATAAAAATTAAATGATTTTAAACTATTTTCTGACATTATTCATTTTTTTTTAGATAGATGTATAAAAGAATGCACAATTTTATTTTTTAAATAAAATAATACATTTTTTAATGGATGAATTAATGTTTCCGTATTTATAAAAAACTATTATGCTATGAAAAATAAAAAATTTTTAATTTAAGAGATAATTTAATGTAATTAAATATTTCTTAAATTAATGATTTTTTGGAAAAAATATTTAAATATTTTTTTATAAAAAATAATACATTTAATATTTTATGAAAAATATACATAGTTCTTTAAAAAAAAATTTGATTTTCATATGACATTTATTACTTCTATCTTTATAAATGTTACCAAATTGTGCTTTTTTTTGTAAATATTCAGCTTTTATCTGATAAATGTTTTATTACGGAAAAGAATATTGATCAATATGATAATATATAATAAATAAGATATATATATCTTGTACAATAATTAAATATTTAGAAATAACAAATATGAATAAGATAAGAATCGATAATGATTCAGATATAAATGGTATAATGTATATTTCATGAATATATTTTAGTCGATGGAGATAATGATACTCTCATAAATACTGATATATCGATATCAATATTGATATTAATATCAATTATTATATTATATATATGTTATAATTTATTTATTAAAATAAATAAATCAGAAAAGTTAATTTCTTATAATTTTATAATATATCTTATTTTTTTCTTCTAATTATAGGAGATTAAAATATTTATTTAATTAATAAAATTTTTATTTATAATTAATAAATATAACAATTATTTATTTTAAACATGACTGAAACATAAATCATTAAAAAATCTAATACATATATACAATATCATATATTAAGAAACATTATATCGAATTTTTGCGAACGGATAACAATTGTTCCACACAATCGTATTCTTTGCATGTCCATAATATATTTATCAATTTACCGATTTCTGCATCTTTTGTATTAGCTTGTTTCCAATCGAGAAATATTTGATAGATTACCTAAAAATATGGCCATTAATATGACAATTTTTAATGATATAAACAAAAATATGAGCATTATAATCAAGTTTACTTCATTTATGCCTCTGTATTTATAATTTTCTTCGAATTGTTCAATTTGACCATCCAAATATAGCAATTTTCTAGCGACATCTTTCCAACCATGTCCAATATAAGTCTTAATAGTAAATATATCATCTAAAGTAATTTCATCACTGCAAGTACATAAACGTTCTACTTCTATTGGCATTTGGCGGGTTTTTGATCTTACGTCTTCTTCAGCCTTATTCTTAGAAAATTGATTAATATTACAAATATAACTAGTTCTTGAACCAATTTTTACATCACTCGAATTAATTATATTATAATTTATGACGTGTGCTATAAAATAAAAAAATAATCACTTTAATACGAATAAATTTGGCACATTCTATTTTTTTTTTTTTTTTTTTTTTTCAATAAACGAGTGATTAACACTTACAAGATTTATGTTGCTTTGGTTTTTTTTTCGTTTTAATATTCGGCCTTCTTTGTTCTTTTGAATCATGTGTAGAACTTTTTGTATCATTCAGATGTTGTCCTTTAGTGGAACAATTAACACCTGTGACAGGTATTGCATCGCTCTTTTCCGATGTTATATTATTTCGTGTAAATTGTGATTCTCTAGTAGCATTGGATTTCTTTGTTTTATCGTTTATTGATTCTAAATTGTGCGTATATCCTTTAATCGGTATTCGCGGCGGATCAGGTTTTGCATCGGTCGTTAACATGTGAAAACGACGAGATAAATTCGAAAGTATTGACATTCTTTAAAATTTATATATCATTTAAAGAAAATATCTTTCTATGTTTTTCTAAAAAATATTATATGAATATTAAATTTTTTGATAAAACGATTTTCTATTAAAAAAAAAATATATAAATATATTTTTCAATAGATAAAATATACTTTTAAAAAAATAAATATTAAATGAATTAATTGGTATCAGTATTTTAATTGCTTTACTATACGCTCGATATAATTTTATAATTACATGTATTTCAATTTTTTATACTATATTAATATAAAAGAACAATTCGATAAGAAACTCATTTTTTTTCTTATTAATTTATAACATTTTAATAACATTTTCTTTATTTATCTCTATGATACAAAATCCTTAATTTTCTTCTTTTGAATATATATATATTCTAATTACAAATTAATTATGCGATATATTTTACTACTATAATTGCTAAGATACAAAAACGTATAGAAATAATTATCATATTATTATATATATAATTATCAATTATAAAAGAAAAAAAAATAGAAAAATAATAAACAGAAAAAAATTCTAATATGATTAAAAATACTAACCATATGAATACGATTTCCATGACCTCAAGATGATCTGGGTTTTCCAGAAATAAAACCGGTTCTATATATAACATATAATCTTCAAGTAACAATAAGTAATACTCAGAAACTGAATAGATAAATAATTACATAGCTATTATTTTTGTCTATCATTTTTGATAAATTAATTGATTTAGACATTTAATTTAAATTAATAATAATTAATATTAATTTGCCTTCATAAATTATTTCAAAAACATATTCCAAATGAAATTATCTTTCCTTCGAATAATATTTATTACATTTCTAGAAAACATAAAAGCGCAACAGGTTTTAAAAATTATACTTGATGTTAGTTTTCTTTTTTTTATTAATTATTATATATTCAAATGATATAGAGTATTTTTCGAATACTTGCATATAAAAATATTATTTTATATAAACATATTTTAAAACAATTAAATTAATGTAGTGTTGAAAAAAGACTTACAATCTTTTTAACTCGAATCTATCTTTTTCTTATTTTTGAATATTATACACACTCATTTTTATATATAATAACATTTATTATAAACAAAAATTTATCAATGCATATAGTTATTATATTATATATAGTTAATATTTCGCGTTAATATTTTAATTATAGTCACTCAATAAAAATCTGCTTACCTACTTAAGTAGTAAGTAAGTACTCCATACTTATGAAAGAAGCGAACGCATTATTAAAATATGACGCATAATCACAGATGAAATACAGAACAGACTAACAGACCTATTATCTTATGAGATTTTATGTTCTATGTTTTAAAAAACCAATCATACAAAAAATTAGAGATTTTGGTACGCCCTCTATGATTTATAGCGCTAAATTTAAGAACCAACTACAAGAAATAGATAAAACAGTAAAAATAATAAAATATGAATGGGGAAAATTTTTTAAAAAATTATGTACTAACTCGAGATTCTACGGAAAAACTTAAAATAATTAAAGAAAAATTAAAAGAAGATATAAATCAGGCTGATCCTTGGTGGCAAGTTATAAATAGAAAGGTTAGTATTATTATAACATTAATATTATCATTAATATTTTAAAAAGAATATTATATTTATGAGATATAATAATGAAATTTGCGATATTTGGTTCAGAAAGCAGAAATAACATATATGAATGAAGAAGAAACATTGAATGAGAGTAATGAAAATTGTAATGATATTATAACTGAGACATCAGATCAACTTTTATCCACGCAATTTTATTTTACACAATTTGACAAATCCTTTCACAAAAATACTAAACAAGAACATGTACCAAAATTTGATATAACAGAATATCTCTTGGAAGGATTAGAGTGTCCTAATGGAAAATTGGATTTAAATCAACTAGAAAATTTAACAGATATAGAATTTATGGAAATAATTTGTAATTTGGAAAAAAAATTGAGTACATCAGGTATATATAATTTATGTTATACCATGAATAATATGACATTGGAACAACGTATGAAATATGCAGAAATACTTCATACTCATTTATTATTACCAAAGGTAATATTTATATTATTAATTATAAATATAAAATATAATTAATAATAATTAAATAATATATAAAGAATTAATTATATAAAATACTCTATAAGTGTAGTTGATAATATTTTTTAATATTTTTATAGATTATTACTTTAAAAGAACCTACAAGATCACTTGTATCTGTTTTAATAGAGTGTACTAAAAAATTTCCAGATGATATTCAGAAATTAATTTTTATTCCTCTCTTAAATATTGATTTAATAGATACAACAATTATTATTGCTATAATAAATGCTTTCGAATTTGAAAGGTATATTGTTCTTATAACGTAAGTATTATTATACTCTATTATTAATTAAATAAACTGAAAATATCTGAAATGTTAACAATTCAGTGATTTTTACAGGGATTATTTAACGAATGTAAAAGAATTAAAATCATGGCATATTTCTTTTTTACAAACTTTAATTTCTACCAAAATAGATATTTCTATGAATAACAAACTTATACAATTATTACATGAAAAAGCAGCTGATTTTAGTAAAGATAAAAATTTTGGAAAGTTTGTATTATCATTTATAAAATCAAATATTAAATTTTCTAATGAACAAATACATTTACTATGGGAAATAGGAAATATTAATCAAACATTATTTAAAAAACCTATACAAAATGTATTAAAATCTATGTTATCTTTGTAAATATTATAAACAGTATATTATGAAAAATCATATATGATAAATTTTATTTTTTTATTATAAAATATATTTTTTCTTTGATATTGTAATTAAAAATAGAAAAAACATGAGATTTTACGCGTGCGCGTAATAGATTTGAAATTCAATGGAAATACAAATGGTGTAAACATGACTGAAGAACTCTCTGGTGTCACAATAGTGATATTTATTGCGGCCGGAGTTTTAACAATATTATTATTATTCATATTTGCAAAACGACAAATAATGAGATTCGCGTTACGATCACGTCGTGGTCCTCATATTCCTATTGGACATGATGCAAGGAAGGTATGAAGAATCGAAAAGGTTAAGTTACTTATGTGTAATTACATATTTTTCGTTATACTTACTATTAGTGACATTCAAAATTAATAATATTTATATATAAGAATTATTTTAGAAAAAGTAATTTTTATTTTAATATAAATTTTTTTTTAATTTATTTTAAAAATATTATGTCATTCACTTATAATTATTTATAATAGATAAATATCATTTATATTATGTAGTATGTTCACATATATGTATTAAAAATTATAAATGATTATATGAACATGCACGACATGATGTATATATATGGAAATATAGTATATCTTTAATTGTTTAGTCATTGAAGAAGGAAATTGAAAGACGGATAGAAGTAATACCAAAAATTCAATATGAGCCACAACTTATTAGTGATCCAAGACTTATTTTAACTCCTCGAGGACATGTTCCACCACATTATTATAGATTAAAAGCAGTGGATGATGTTAAAACTTTAGGTAATTACATTACTACAAACTTTTTATGGTAAATAAAACTTTTAAATAGAGATTAATTTCCAATATACATTCTTGTAGAAGCTGAAATTACCAAATATGATAATTGTTTAAGGAGGCATCCATCTGAGAATTTACGAGCATATTTACTTGCCACATTAGCAACTCCATTAAATGGAAGTGGACAAAGATTAATTCATCAATTCTGTGATTTATATGAACATGCACGACATGATCCAACTGAATTTGGAGACGAGGAATATCAAGTATATACCCGTTTATTTCTTAAGTTAATGGATGCGTAAGTATGATTTTTTTAAATTATAAAAGAAGTTTACAATTAGAACATTTATTGCAACTTATCATGATAGAATACAAAATTGTTGAAAAATGAAAAATTGTTCTTAATGTTTTCATAGGGCCCGTTTGTTAAAATCGTATCCGAGTAGTAGAAAATCTAGTCCAAGTCGTACACCTATAAAGAAAAATGTTGAGACGAAAAGGAATATATTAGAACCTAAAATGAAATTACCCGAAGATCAAACATTGACTGGTTCACGACCAAATACATTAACGGTAATGATGCTGGATAATAATGAAACATCTGTTTAGCATTATGAAAATCGTCACATACAACATATGTGACGAATTGTTGTTTCATAATTGCTAATTTCTACATCATACGAAATTGCAAGTAAGTAAAATACATATTTAATTTTTATTATAATAATATTCCAGAAATATGTTTTTCCTTTTAATTTCGTATCATCTTAAATTTGCAGTTGTTACGAACAGATTTTTTGCAATAGAAGTTGTTTCAGTCTAACATGTACCAGATTACGATTAAATATCGATTTCTGTTTTAATCGATAAATATTTAGTCCATACATCTTTATAATAGGAATTATGTCTTAAACAAATTAATGCTCGATGAAATGTGGATTTATACGAACTAGAAATATTACTCATTCTCATGTAATTTAACCATTCCATCATCTGAAAGGTATAATATTATTAAAAGATTTTTAATTCTTACATAATTATTAGATAAAAAATTGTTCAATTGCTAATTATTATTTGCTAAATTATTATTCGGTCGTAATTATACAATAATATACAAATAAATCGTAAATACCTGTGGAATTGCATGCTTCCAATCCTGTCTTTCAAAAATAATTGTTAGAGCTTGAGGAAATAATTTTATTTTAATATTTTGCGATTTAATTAATAAATCTTCTTTCATTAACATGGAATCTATGCCAGATAAACTAATAATAGAGACGAATAAAATATCACAGTAGAATTGTATTTTATCAAAATGATTTTGCTGTGATTCCATAAAAAATCCTTGAACTTGTGTCATAAGATCGAGAATCCAATTTAAACTGGATCTTTCAATTTGCATATTGATCAACACATTTCGTATAATTTTTAGGAAATATGTTTGCACACTTTAATAAGAATATTAAGATATATTTTTATTTGCGATTTTAAAATTATATGATAGACTTTTTGATCAGAAATCTTACCTAAATGTAGAGACAATAGTTTCATCGATGATTTCGTTCAACCATGTTAAAGAAGCTTCGGAACTATGTTTCTTTAAAACCAATTCACCTCTGATCGCGATTGCATTTTTCAATTTACCTGGTATTGTTTCCCACCATACTTTAGGAGATGTCATTCTCTCTAAATGTTTCATTGGTAATTCCAATGCTGCTGCGAAATAAGAATAAAACTGATCGCACGTTAAATCTATTTTATCCAAAAGTTCCTCTAATATCGTAGAAAGTAATGTAGAATTAGCATGACATACTTCTGGATTTTTTAACGTTTGAGCATACGAATACATAATAGAATGGAACAATTCTATCGAATTTTTATTACCGACATCCATTTTTTCAATTACATGTTTCAACGTTATATCTAAAAACGGTTTAATGATATTCGGTTGTACAGCTTGGCACAAGTCTTCGAGATTCGAATATAACACAGAGTGTTCATTGTTTTTCCAATTAAAATCTGTATCGTTTATTGTTTTATACATCGATAGATAATTCTCTATAAAAGATTTAGCAGATAAAGATATCGTTGCATGATGACACGCGATGGAAAGAGTATATCGTTTTGTTTCGCTTGACAGATCAAGCATGTTCTTTAGAAAATTCCAATTAATATTGGGCAATGGTTTCGGATATTTGTGAGCAAATATTCGTAAACATTCCGTAATAATACGATGATTATTTGAATCAATTTTGTTACATTTCCTCAAATATTCACCAATCGCTCTGATTACGCTTTTTTCTGGCAAATACTTAAAGTTTTGCGGTTCCCCTTGGGGCCAAACGTAAATGCCAGATCGGAAACTATTTACTTCTTCCGTCACAAAAGATATTAAAAGATTTCCAGCTGTCGATAAAACAGTTTTATTTATATTTTGAAGCATCTGTATCCAACAAGTACCAGGTATATAGGGAAATATATCTTCTGGTTTTTTAATCGCGTCGATTGGAGTTTTCGCATATGCTGCCGGTAATACGAGATTGCATCTAAATTCCAACGGTAGTGTTTTCAAAGATAATTGCTCCAAACGATACGAAGCTAGGGCTTTGAGTGCAGAGTTGATTACCTTTATATCATTAGATGTTGTGTATGTCCACAATTTCGATATGATATTATCGATCAAGCGATCGTATTCTTCAAGGCCCTGCGATGGTGTGTAAAATGCAGCGTCGGCAAATAATTCGCATAGGCTTTCCAAGACGATAGGACGCTTTTCTTTTTCCATTTTCGGAGCTAGTACTCTCCACGTTGAACAAATATCTATTACGGATGCCTTGCAAAGTATAGAAATACATCCAAGTGCGAGTGCACTCGCAGTTCCACCATTCGTGTTCGTTGAACGATTTAATATTTGCGATAACAATGGTACCAAATTTTCGCCATGCTCGGGACAATTTTCACAAATATATTTTATAGCTCTAGCGCAGGTTGCATCCGAATACCAAGAGTAATCGTTTTTCATCAATTGTATTATCGCGGCGGAAACGAATCTATAACATCTTGGTTCTTTTTTCAATGTTTTAAGATATAATTCGATTATAAAATATTTTAATTGTTTGTCACCGTTCAACAACATGTTCAATGTATGGTTTATAATTGGAACATTTTCTTTTGTACTTACAAGCTCAGGTATAACCGCTAGTAAACATTTTGTCTCCGTACTGCTTTTACATTTGGTTAATTTGTGCAGTATCAAAGAAAGCACGTGCGAGCCAAAACTATTTGTTTCTCTGCTGATATCAACCAGTATTTTACAACATAATTCGACTATTAAAGGTTCGTTTGATTGCAAGAGAAGACCAGATATCAATAATTTACATTTGTCTTTTAAATAAACGGGTACACTTGATATATTTCTTAACCAGGATAAAATGTCATTCGAATTCCAAATATTCGAACAATGCATCACCAGTTCTGAATAGAATTGAATATATGAATCGGAATGACTGAATACCGTAAAAAGTTTGTTTGAAAGTAACGTCTCTACGTTACAGGTTAAATTCGTTTTTGTGAATATTTTGTTCGTTAAATCCTTTGCTAAATCTAACGCCTCGGAACATAATACGGATGGATATGCCATCCATTTTATCACAGATGCCTTCAGAGTGCTAAAAAATATATCATCATAAGACATTTTCTTTGTTATCATCATACCTGTAATGTGATATGTTATGTAAGTGTTTAGAGAAATCGTCCAAAAATATTATAATTTTTTTCTATTTTTTAGAGATACTTACATATTTGCAAAGCGTTGTACAAATAAATAGCCGGACATAAAGTAATTACTTCTGCCATCAATATCAACATAAGATTTCCAATATAGTTATGACAATAGTCTATAATATTTAATATAACATCGAAATTCGATCTTGGATCAGAATCTTGTTTTAATAATTGTATAATCAAAGATGCGATCATTGGCAATAAAGCGGTACAATGTTCTTTATCCTTCTCTGATAAAGCTTTCTCTGCAAGTTCTAAAATTCTATAATTTGTATTTATACAAGAATGACTTTCTGTCGTGCACAACCAAAGTAAAACTTCTGTCTGTACATTTGTATCGTATTTCGATCTAATTAACAATTGCCAAACTTGTTGCATGCAACAATCCATCGAATCCAACAAAGGATTGCATAAAATATATAAAAATACAGGGCGTAGCATTTTTATACTATTTTCTTTAATTCTGGAAATTTTATATACATTTATACGCATGTAAACATACGTGCGCATATTTTAAATATAAAAGTATGCAGAACAATTATATATACAAATATATATATCTCTATACATACATACCTATAATCTTGATGATTCACAATAAATGTTATTTGACTTAATACAGTCTGCCAGCTACGTTTATCTCGAATTAAAATGCTTATAAACGGATGCTGTGGCGTGTGTAAAGTAAATGGATACATAATTTTATTTTTTGAATCGCGTTTTAAATCCAGTATCAATAAGTGACTTATTGTTGTAGTGGCAACCATATAATTTCTATAATATATAATTATGCATATTTTTTTACAATGTCAAAGAAAAAGATACAAGAAATATTATAGATTTGAAATTAATTTTTATACTTTATCGAGGAGATGCTCGAGGTAAAAGTAGATAATGCCTCGTTAATATCCCATAATCCATTTTCGACCAAAGCAATCAAAGCTTGACAAGCTGATATGCTAAGCGTGACATTTGTACTGTCTCGTTTTGATAATAATAATTTAAATTCAGCTATCTGTTTAATTAACGAATTTTATGGAACAATTAACCTAATAGAACTTGAAGATAAAAGTGAATTAATCGAATGAATAATATTTAGATTACCTTTGATATATGATCCGTTTCTCGATCACATTTTTTTTTCTTTATGGATTCGAAGAGTTTGGATGTTGCCTGTAGAAAAATGTATTGGAACAGCGATATGAATAGAAAAAAAGATAAATAATTAGAAGTTAGAAAAGAAAGAAATAACTCACGTGTGATATTAAAACAGGATTCGTAGATTCTAATTTATATTCTATTTCATTCATCTTGTAAAGTTAATATGCTTTAAAAAAATTCTTTTACGTATTAATTTCACATATTTTTGTCCTTAAAGAAAATGTGCGATAAAATTCATGTTTCATTACGCTAAAAATATTATTACTACTTCCACAGTAACAATACTATTAATAAATATTAGGAATAATAGAAGTTGTCGCGAGCATATGAGTAGGTTATAAAACATAACCTTGTATCGTTAAAACATATTTTGTAATAATATGTGTTAACATGTATTATTCGTAGTTTACAGTCATTTATAATATGAAAATAAGAATAATTTATTTATACTATTTATATATGAAGAACATATGTATTATAGAAAGAAATTTTAAAAGAGCACGATTACATCTCTCACACGGTTAAGAATAATAATATGGAAAGAATAAATACATATCGTGTCGTTGTGAACACATACTTTCAATGCCACTTTTCATAAGGGTTCTCAAATAGAATTAGATATGATATTTTTTTTGTACAACTATGCATGAAATTGTAGAAATATTAATAATAATAAGAAATTATTATTACAATAATATATATGAATAGATTATAATGGATTTATGATATATATTATTTAAATATTCGAAATAGGAAAGAAGAAAAAAAAACGGAAAAAGATAATATGTCATTATTAATCGACAAGAGAGAAATTTGAAAAGGCGTGAAATTGTCAAAGGAGAATATACCGATCGAAGGATATTGTATAATAGTAAGATTTCCAATATATTTATTCGTATGGACAAGTTGGAGCATAGTGCACAATATAATTAATATATGTATAGTAGTCTGAGGAAGGGGTCAGATTACATTCTGGAGTTTGAACACAATATCTTACAATTTAACGACAAGATGCCTGCATTTCTGTATTTGCTTCTGTACGTATTGTTACTCGTATATTTATATATTCAGTATGTGTATAATATATAAAGCGTAACGACTCACTATTTTTATCATTCTAAAAAAATGGAGACGAGAATACGGGTCCTTGTTTATTACATTACGTTAATATTTCAGTCCGTCTTATGTCGTCATTTAATTTATTCGTTTGAGAATTTTTTGCAATGGATTATGCAACATTGTGGCAAATAGTACTCGCTAGAATATATCCTTAGGAGATTGTCTCCAATTGCTAATTACATTTGTATCTCATTTAGGTTGCGAGGAAGTAACGAGTTCAACATCGATACTATGTCGAGCGAACCGATTTTAGCGATGAGAGATCGAAATAATAATAAAACGTAAAAAAAAAAAAAAAGGCGCTACTTAAAACATAAAGAGGGTAAAAATCTGGATTTAAAACTTAATCGTTCGTTATAATACGTGGTAAATTTATTGCCACTGAATAAGATTTTCACCAGTACGATTTGAATGGATAACGCAAGGATAATCGTTATGCGAAAAATTTGCGATACCCGAACGTATATAATATTTGACCATTGGAGACAGCTCCTTTTTTCCGCATGATTAGCAATTAACAATCTATATTAAATTTTTGTTTAAAAGCAAATACACTTTACAGCCTATACAATCCATACAATCCATTGTTTTTCATCCCTTTTGTTCACTTATTTCTTTTTTTTTTTTTTTTTTTTTGTTTTTATTCACCTTTTTCATTTAATTTCTCTCGTTTAATATCTTCTACTCGAATTTAAGTTTGTGGAGAGCGCAGGGCAGGTCCAGGTACTTAGGCTATCTGTATATTTTCATAAAAATTCGTCAAGATCTTCGATTTCTTCTTATCACGATTCGCGTGTCGCTCCTCTGATTTTTTTCTTTTTACGTTTTATAAAAATCACAGCACAGCACCAGCATTTTTTTTTTTTTTTTTTTTTTACTTTAAAGCCCGCCCGATTCTCCTTCGAACACGTCTCATTAAAACTGAGACGATTGCCCGCGCGTTTCTCCGCCGTTCTCTCCCTTTTCCTCCCTTCCTCTCCCACTCACTCATTCTTGCTTAATTCTTTCTCTCCCTCTCTTTCTCTCTCCCCTCCCACCCCTCTTTCGCTCATTTTACTTAAACAGATAGATATCGCCGTTATTACGTCCGAATTAAAAAACACGCCTTGTTCTCTGATCTTTTATTTGGCATTTGCAACACTACGTACGGCACGATAAAACTATTTTCGGATTCTTGGCAACGTGTTTTTACCAATCGTTCGTATTATAATACAACGCTTTTATCTTTTTTTTTTTTTTTTTTTTACCGACGATACAATAATAAAATAATAGAACCAATAATTATTGATGAATAATCGTAATAAAAGGTACAATGATAATCGTCACTGAACTAACTTTAGGTTTAGCCATCAGGATGATACTATGGGCGCGTATGTATCACTGTGGCGCATATGTATGTGTATACGTATATATACCTAATAACTTTCTCCCTTCCTCGTCAATTAGTCTTATCCATCTTGATCATCGCTCTCGCTCTCGCTCTCGCTCTCTCTTTCTCTCTTGTATCCCTTCGCATATACACTTATATCCATATCCACACAAATACACGTACACTTACACATTCTCTCTTTCTCTCTCGCTCGCTTCCGCTCGGTTGTAATCGCGCAACGCTAACTACAATTAATCTTAGTAAACAAATAGCATTCTAGTGTACTCAATGTACAATCACTTATCGTCACGTTATCGTTATTTAGAATTATCGTGATTTTTCGTTTTTTTTTTTTTTTCTTTTTTTTTTTACGCTTACACTCCTCTATCCGACACATTTTTTTTTTGTTTATATTTATTTTTTTTTTTTGTTTATATTTATTTGACATCGTAATCGACGTTCACAATACATATTAATCGGTAGGGAAGGGTAATCAAATCGTGTCTAAAAAAACGTGTCGTTCGCGAGTCACGTAATTTCGCTAGAAAAATGTCGAGTCTGTGATTTAGCAATCTTCTTCTTTTTTACAATAAAATACAACGATCTATAATTTCATTGTTATAGACAAAGTTCGCGATTGAATATTCGTAACATACGCGTTATACACAACAAGTTACTGAAAATATGCGACGCAACAGTCGCGTATAAGCACGCGCAGGAATTTTCTTTCTTTCATTCTCGCTTTCATTCGCATCTCTACTCGTTACTAAATGTAAGTGCAATAAAAATGTTGCCCGAACACGAGTCGAGGCGTACATTCTCTCTCTTTCTCTCTTTCTCACGTCATCGGAGAAAAATCGGGCAATTGATTAACTGCTTCTTTCTCGTCTTTTCGACGATATAGGATTATATCAGTAATAATTTTAAGGCCTATTTCGGCCCAGTCAGTCTAACGCAACGAGATATCATCGCACGCATGCTTCCCTCGCCTCTGTTTTTTCTCTCCCACTCTCTTTCATTCCTCATACATGCTCTCTTTTCCCTCGTTTTCTTTCCCCGTATTACATCGTATTTCGCCTCTTCCCGAATTTTCCAACCCAACCAATTTTGCCGCGCCTTCCAATCCAACCATCGCGAGCCGTTTCTTCCACGTAACAGTAATAGCTGATTGTTGTCGATTCCAAGTAAAACACGTTTTTTTTTTTTTTTTTTTTCAAATTTTCTACTCTCCGTTATACGTTTCTCGCTCGAATACTTTTATTCCAGTTGCATCTGCGTTGTATCGTCATCTTCGCGTCGAGACAGATCGTGGAAAACGAGAAAACGATAGATAGACATATCAAGACGAAAAGATTTCGTCTTTCGTTTCGAATGGAAGAACGAAGACACGTGACAAGGAATTTACTTCAACTTTTTCCGTATTTTCATTTTCTCGGCATAAATTGTGCGTGATATCCGATGGAACGATTCGATATAATTTTCGGAAAAAAAAAAAAAAAAAAAATAAGGTAAAAATAATATCGTACACGTTAAAAAAATACGAAGGATCGACGAATAAAACGATCTACTTATTGATCGATACGCTTCGAGGAAATGGACTCGACACGAGTCCTTTCCTCGCAGCGTAGAAAAAAGTAATGCGTACGAAACGAAGTGAAACGGCGATTCGGAAGGCGTGCACGGCTTCTTGTCACGTAGAAAGAAGACAAGGAGGAGTTCGCTTTGAACGAAGTCGTCGACGAAGACTTGGTTAGATGGTACGTATAATAGCACGTATAACGATGACGATAGGGATAGCAAGTCTGGAGGAGATCGATGGTATACAAGTTTCATCGCTACGCTGTTGTTGTTGTTGCTGTTGCTGTTGCTGTTGCTGTTGCCGCTGCTGCTGCTAATGGAAGCGAAACTCGCTGTTGTCGTGGTGGCAAGCCGATACAGATGCGAGTATCCGGTCGCGCGAACGAACAAGAGGTGGCAGACTGAAGTTGGTATTGGACGAGACGATCCTAAGTTTGTCTGCCGGTGGCGGCGGAATGCGGATGTCCCGCGGCGGTCGCGGCGGTAACCGGCGGCGGATGATGAGACGTGTGATGAGTTTGTGCAGAGGTGGGTCCGGTTGTTCCGGCAGCAAGTACGGGACCGGGGGCCGCGGGTCACTTGGGCGGGAATGGCGAGATCACCGATGCGGCTACCGCGGCGGCCTGCTGACTCGCCAGCATCGCCGCTGCAACACATATACACCCGTGCCGATTAATTGTTTTTCCATTGCAAAGAGAAAAAAAAAAAATAAAAGAAAGAGAGAGGAGAAAAAAAAAAAAAGATACGATCGGTCGTACGTTCGGTCGAACGTACGAACGTCATATCGACGATCGGTAATGAAGATCGAGTCCACTCTCGCCGCCGCGGTTCGCGCGATTCATTCGGATTCGCGTTCCGCAATCGTTATAATTCGACGAGAGCCCCGCCCCTTTCTCCCCCCTCCCTTCTTCGCATTGCTCGCGCACAGTGCAGTACTACCGGTGTATCGCGCTACTCCACTGCCCAAGTATAGCGTGCGAGCGAGCGAGCGAGCGAACGAATAACGGAATGAGAGTGAGAGTGAGAGTGAGAGAATAAGAGGAAGATAGGACGAGGGGGATAGAAGAACGAAACGAATGTTTTCTCTTTTTCTATACGAATTTCATACGCGTCCCATCGTCTCGTTATTTCTCCACTCTCGATATTTTCGATATTCTCGTTCTCCTCCTCCTTTTCTTCTTCTCTTTCTTCCTCTCCTCCTTCTCCTCCTACTCTTTCTCCTGTTTCTTCTTTTTTAACGTCTTCTTCGTTCATCAACGAACGATATCGCATCGATGTAAAATTGGAGGGAGGGTGGGGGAAGCGAGGAAGAAGCGACTCGTAACGATAGCTTTGCGATTAGTTATTTCGATCATCGTGACGGATTATTATAGACGCATCGATACAATCGATATCCCGAACAACGATTATCACAGTTAACTATGCGTTCGTAATTACATACCCTAAGTGTCTCGTAACTCAATGATATCCCTTTTCTTTTATCCGTACGCGCCGTTCACGTACATTTAGAATTTCGAGCACACATCGCACCGAGACATAGCTATTATCCCTGACCGTGGTAATATATCTTCCCGTGAATTGTGAACGATGATCAATCTACTTTCCAATTATCTACCCGCACGTTTCGTAATAAAGTAACCAAGTACCAGTAGTATCGATTCGCGAGGCTCGTGTTACACATGTAGTACATGCGTTATATGTATATAACTGTGTGTAGAGAGGAAGGAAACCCGGAACAGACGAAGGTAAACGACTCGAATCGAATCGAATCGATGACGACCTTACTTTCTTTCTTTCTTTTCCATCTTTTCGTCTGTTTCTCTCTCATTTTCTTTCGTCTCGACGCACCAATATGGCGCGTTTATTATTATCGGATCGCGATCAGGTTTCGATCGATCAGGGAAGCGTCGGTTGTTGTCGTCCGCGCGAAAAATCGTGGGATCGCTCGAAAACCCAATCTTCGAACGGTGCGAACGATGAGTGAATAAATGAATAGATAGATAGATAGATAGATAGGAAGACACGAGTCGAAACGAGAGGTACGTACGACGCGCGTTCCAGGACGATCGGTTATCCAACGAAGAAGGGAAAGTGGGTCGGGATGGGGATAACAGTGATGATGGTTCGGATGATGATGGTCGACGACGACGACGATGACGACGACGACGACGACGACGACGACGACGATGGTGGTGGTGATGGCGGTGGCGGCGAAGACGACGGTGGCGACAGTGGACGGTTCGATTCGAACCGGTATTTATTGTCAGGGTCTGACGAGAGGCTTACCTCCGTACGGGGCGGGATATTGTCCGGTCAATAGGGGATAACCTAGGCCAACATGGGTGTGATGATGCGTGTGCACGTGTCGTTGGGGCGGGGGTGATCTGTTATCCTTGGTCAAGGTTCCGGTGCCGGCGTCGACGGGCGTCGGTTGCTGTTGTTGCGATTGCTGCCCACCCGACTGAACTTGCTGCTTCGCCTGGGACTGTTGACTCTGGGATTGGGGCGGGCCGGGGCCGGCCACGGAGCTGGGCGGCCCGCTCGGAGGGCGCGACGGTGTCGGTCCCGCGGACGACGGGCTGGCCGAGGCCGCGGACGTTTTCGGGGTGGGCGATTTGAGCGCACGCTCCTGAAGCTCGTGTATCTTGTGCGCCGAATAATACTGATTGGCATGGTGCTGGAGCAGGTCGAGAGCTTTGCCCGCGGGCGGTCTGCTCAGATCCTCGGGCGCGTGATACCTAGGCAATTGGTGCAGATACGGGTTACCGGAATAAGGGCCTGGGACCAGCATGGGGCTGAGGCCGCGATACACCGGGTGGCCGGGATCGAACGGCAACGCGCCGTAGTGTTGGGGCTGCATGTAGCCCGGATGGATGTAGGCGTACTGCGAGGTGGGGGGCGGCGGTGGTCCCTGCGTTTCCATCGTTGGCTTCACACCCTCCTGCTTGCTCTTCGCGTCCTCGTTCTTGCCCAAGTCTTGAAGCTTCTCCTGTTTCGGCTGATGCTTCGGACTAGGGGGCGGCGGCTTCGCCTGTTGGCTCTGCTTGCTCACCTCCTCCTTTCGCCTCTGGTCACCCGGGTAAAGGTAATACCTTCGGTCGTCCTGTAACGGGCCAGGGGGCGGCGGCGGGGGCGCCGACCTCTGACTCTGCCCGCTGTGATACACGTGGTACGGGCTCATCTGGCTCTTCATCTCTATACTCTCCTTCAATATCTGATGATTCTCGTGCTGTTTCTCCTTCAAGCTAGCCTGTTGCTGCTGCGGCTGTTGCGACTGCGGCTCCTGCTTTATCTTCGCCTTCTGCTCGTGCATCTCCTGCTCCTGCTGCTGTTGCTGCTGCTGCTGCTGCTGCTGCTGTTGCTGCTGCTGTTGTTGCTGCTGCTGCTGTTGCGAGACGGGTTGCGGCGGTTGATACGGGTAACCGGGCGGCATGTATCCCCCGTAACCGCCGTAGTAGTGGGGCTGCTGTTGCGGCTGGGGGACAGATTGGCTCAACTCCTTCTTCTCCTTCTCGGCGACCACGCTCTGCAGGCTGGCCAGCGTTGGCATCTGCGGTATGTTGAGCGGTTTCATCTCCTGCTTCGGCGCGACCAGCTCGCTCGGCTTCTGATCGATCGGCTTGCTCTCGGCCACGCTCGGGACCAGGTACGGGGGTTGGCCGTAGTACGGGTACATGTTGAAGTGCGAGGGCAGGTGGGCGCTCGCCGCGCTCACCTTCCCGTCCTTGTCCTGCTGGCCCTGCTTCGACTTGTCCGCGGCCTCCGCCTCGAGCACGGGCGCCGCGTCGTCCGAGATGTCCGAGTAGGCCGGGCTCTGCACGTCGTCCCGCGCCGCGTCGACGATCGGCGCCTCCAACGGCGAGGGGTGCGGGCTACCGCCCGGCGACTTCCTCGACTTCTTCTTGTAACCCTGCGCCTTGGACGCGCCGCGCGGGTCCTTGCTCTTGTCCTGGTCGGGCATCAGGGCCGCGGTCGGTTTAACCTTGAACTGCGGCATCTTCGCGTGCAACGACACGCTCTGATACGGTTGCAAATGCGCTTGCACACCCTGGCCGGGGTGGCCCGCTTGCGAGAGGCCCGCCGCTTGCAAACCGCTCGCCTGCTGCGATATCTGATTGGCCAGCCCCTGGAGGGCAGGATGTTGGCTCGCGATGCTCTGCAGTCCGGTCGCCTGCGATTGTTGCTGTTGCTGCTGCTGCTGCTGCTGCTGCTGCAATCCGGCGGCTTGTTGCACCACGTGCGCTTGAGACGGTTGGCCGATTTGCGCGGATAACGAGTGTTGTACGGACAATTGATGGGCGGCCGCCAATTGCTGTTGCTGTTGCTGCTGTTGTTGAATAGACGCTTGCTGCATCTGTTGGCCCGTTTGTTGAAGCTGTTGCTGCGGCGGGGGCGGGGGTGGCGGGGCGACGGTTTGACCGGTTTGCAGCGCTTGCTGGCTCGCTTGGAGAATGGAGTTTTGTTGCTGGTGGTGGGACGACAGTTGGGACGGCTGAGGCGGTTGTGGAATATTCAACGGAGGCGGAATGTTGGCGGCCGGATGCGGCGAGGACACGGAGGATCTCGGCGACTGGCTGGCCCGTGGTCCCGGGCTCTGGGGCGAGTTCGAGCCGGTCAACTGATTCGACTGTTGCTGCGACTGCTGTTGCTGTTGCTGCTGTTGCTGCTGCTGCGTCTGTTGTCTCGCGTTGGAACTCGACATAGCGGCGGACGGGGGGGCGGGCAAGTCGGACTCCTGGCCGAATCTGAGCACACCCGGCTTGACGATGCCTCCGCCGCTCTTGGTGGCGGTGGTCTCCGCGGCGAGTACAGACGCGGGTGGTTCAGCTATACTCGGCGAGGTGACGCGAGGCGGGGGTGGCGGCGTCTCCGGGGGTAGGCCGGTCGGCGGGGGGCTCGCCGCGCGAAGCGGCGTCCCCTCGGGCTTGTCGGCCGGCGACTTGACAGGCGTTGCGGGGCTCGGGGCCTCGATGTTGCTCTCGTCGTTCTCCGACATGCTCGTGATCCCCTCCTTCGTATCGTCATCGTCCGCCGAGCCATGGGCGTGACTCTGATGATACTTGAGCCCGTTGATGTGTTTGTACTTTTTGTTGCAATTCGGCTCCGGGCACTCGAGCAGCACCGGGCTCGCGGGGGGCGAGCCGCTCGGGGGCGTGGGCGGCGGGGCCCTCCTCTTGTTCTTGTCCTCCTCCTCGGGGCCCCGCGACTTCCGTTTCGCCGCGGGGTCCGGCCGCGGGGGGACGAACGCGGCCGGGCTCGGGCTCGCGGCCGGCGAGCCCTGCGCGCCCCTGCGCCCCTTCGCCCCCCCGTTCCGCAGCTTGCTGTGCACCGAGCTCCTCGTCTCCGTGAAGTTGCTCAGGTCGTTGCCGGGGGTGGCGTTCGCCGCGGCTCTGCCGCGCTTCCCCCGCCCCTTCGGCGTCCGCGCGTCGAGATCGCTGGTCGGCGAGTCGCAGAACCTCGGCGGCGCCCAATCGTGGCGCGTGCAATCGAGCAACGTGCCCACGTATGTTTTACCGCGCCAAGTCACGTTCACCACCAGCACACCTGCAAATCCGTCGGTATAACGTAACGAACACGTGACAAGAGGGGGAGGCGTCGTGCGCGGGGATCGTGCGCGGGGATCGTGCGCGCGCAACACTCACTCACCTCCTTCGGTCTCGTGCCAAACGATCCCCTCCAAAGTGACCGAGGTCCCGGGCTCGCAAGGTCCCAAACATTCCGGCTCGGTGATGGTCCCCACGCTGGTACCCACGCACACATCGGACATGTCCTGCAAATTTATTGGAGAATTGTGTATCGACGCTCGGAAGAGAAACAACAAGTTTTAGGAACGCGCGAGATCGGTGCCCCCACCCCGTTCAACCGTTTCGAATCCCTTTCGCAACTACCGCCATCTTGCGACCGCGCCGTCAACCTTCCACTCGGCTATGAATCTCCGATATCCATCCCGATCGATAATTTATGTTACGTAGCTAGTACTATTGTTACTGCTCTTTCTCCGATAAGTTTCGTTACAAGTTTTTCCGATGTATTTTTATGTATCTCGTGGAAGGAACTATATGTAAAAGCGCGACAGTGACTTCGAACAGAAAAAGAAACATCTTTGTTTACACACGCTATTGCGAATGCCGCAAATTCGCAGTTCGATTATGTATATGTATATGTATATTTATCGGTGAACTGATATTTTCACCGATGGTACAGAGACCAAGATCGAATCCTGTGGATCGAGTCCAACGACGACGAGAGAAAAAAAAAAAGGAAAGTGAGTAAATAAGGAATAAAGAAGAAGAGGAAGAGGAGAAGAAGAGAATGAGTAGCTTTTAAAAAAAAAAGAAAAAAAAGTAAAAGCGAATTGCCATATATACGAGACTCGGTTGCACGTGCATGCATTGCTTCTAAGATGTAAAGCACGTGTGCGCCTAGAACGATGCTGTTCCTTGATAACTATGACTTATCCTAGTTTTCACGCTCGATCGATAATCGCTTTCGTCCGATTTCCTTTCGATCTTACCAATCGATGCTAAACGAAGGAAATATTCGCGAATTCACAAGGCAAATTCCATCGATACTCATCTATTCGACAGATTCACACGGCGATTATATCTGAATATATTTTATCGACGGTGACTTCTCTCTCTCTCTCTCTCTCTCTCACTCTCTCTTCTCCCGCTTTCCGTCTCATCATACAGTCATCGCTCGTCTCTCCGTCTCTTCGATTATAATCGTAGTTAAACCATTCCAAGCCTCGATTAACGCGTATACTCTTCTTTTTTTCGTTTCGTTTTCTTTTCTTTTCTTTTCTTTTCCTTTCCTTTCTTCCAACTCTCTTCTTCCTTCTTCTTCTTATCGTCGAACGATACAGCCGCGCATGTATGTTGTCGA